ATTGAAACTTCATTGTGATCTAGTGTAATTAACCTGAAAATACACTGACAAAAGCACTGTAATAACCTGAAATTAGATTGTAATTGCAGTGACTGTAAACTAAAAATCATAGAAGTTACAGCAAAAATTGCACTGTGGTTACCTCTAGAAATTACAGTGTCACTACTCTGTAATTTCAGAGGAAATTACACTGTAATTAAAATGAAATTACAGTTATGAAGTTGCCGTAACTTCGATGCAACTACTACCTAAGAACGCACACCCAGCATCTAACAACAAAAAAGGTCAGCGAAATCAAACGCCCAGGCTAGCAGAAACAAAATCAACAGGGGAATTAGATCCACCGTTTCATCCATGCACCTATCACTGTAACATTGTAGTAGCAGGAAAAAATCGCCAGGAAAATCCACCACTAAGACTACACATACACCCACATCTACATCAAACACAAGGGAATCGAATCAAACCAGAAGATCTAGAAGAAATTCAACGGGGAAAGGGAGAAGACCCGGATAACGAACTGAAATCACACGACACTGGAGCGGAAATCAATCTGAAAGAAGAGGAGGATGAGGAGATCGGAATCACCATGGATGACGAGGAAATCGCCAAGAACTGCCTCCCTCTCTCATCTTTAACTCTCGCGAAGAAATGAGAAAGGGCAAGAATAAAAAAAGACAGAGAGCCAGGGGATAGGCAGTAACGGGTTGGCTGGGAAACGAAAGCGCGCCCGGTAACAGACGCATAGAAAAACGTCCAAAAAAGCCAGCACCCAGCGCGGACCTCGGCACGAGATCAAACGGCCAAAAAAATTGAATGCAAACCAATTGTAAATCACTCGACTGTAAATTAGCAAAACCGTAGTCATACGCTAGTGGTATTTTGTCATGTAAACTGAACTGACTACACTTTGGTTTTCACTAGTGGTATGTTTGAACCTCTGATTTTTGACTTGTGGTATTTTGGCCATTTTCTCAATCCTGCAAGAAAAGCCGCATGAATCCCGCCTCATCCATCTCTTTCCGCCGCAGGTAAGTTGATGGAGCCCAACGCCGACAAGCTACGCGGTCTTCGCATCACCTCCCTCGACGATGAAGATGATGATGAGACAGAACTGCCCGCGACCGTGGCTGCGGCGGCCTCGGGCTATGATGACGATGACGAGGACGAAGATGAAGAAGCGGAAGTGATGCTTGGTTTCCTGGAGAAGCCGAAGCATCCAGGCCTCCTCCGCCACCTCTTTCCTAGCAAGGCCGGAGGCATCCCGGTCCGTGCAATAACGCCCATCATATTAAGCGACACACTTTGATTTTTTTATGCGATTGGAGCAGGTATTAATATGAGGTGTTTGTGTATTTTGTCCAAGCGTGGTTGGATCCCATGAACTTGCCCTCGGGGAACTCCAGCTGCTGTGGCTTCTGCGGCGAGCCCCTGCACTTTGTCCTCCAGGTTATTGCTTTGTGCCTAGAAGCAATTGTACCTGTTGTTTTCTTTCCGGAACTTGTACTTGTTAAATGGATGCTCCGGCTGTGTAGATTTATGCTCCTATTGAGAGCAATGCAGCAGCATTCCACCGCACTCTCTTCATGTTCATGTGCCCGTCGATGGCATGCTTGCACCGAGACCAGCACGAACAGTGGACACGCAACCAAGGCAATCCTCGTAGAAGGTGAAGCAAGTCCCGTAGCTGCTGTGTTGGCTTTTAGACTAGAGACTGAAAACATTTTGCTGATCCTGATTGCCTCGTTGGATTGCAGCGTGAGGGTTTTCCGGTGCCAGCTGCCTCGTACCAACGTGTTCTACTCAAGTGAACCTCCAAGTCACAATAACTCTGACAAGCCACTATGTGCCGGAGGTAGTTTTCCTTTTTGTTCAGTTACATGTCATCTTAGATTTACTGTGCCTAATAAGTTTGGTATGCTATTAGTGCTACATTTCCTGCATTACGTAGTACTCCCTCCGTCCCAAAATAAGTGTCTCAGCTCTAGTACAAAGTTGAGACACTTATTTCGGGACGGAGGGAGTAATTAGCTAGTTATCCTAGAGAAAATGTGCTTATGTCCAGCAGATCTCTTTCACTCTATCTAGCTATTGCATAAATACTTTCTTCATTTACACTTACGAATTCCTAAATCATATTTTCAATATGCTAAAATCTTGAAGTTATCATCTTCATTTGTTTATGCTGGTTGCTCCACATATCGGCACCTTGCTTCTAATGTCTTCCTTCGGAAACATATAATCTTTTGCTTTCTGTTTTTTTTCCTAGAAAAACATTGCACTGTCAATGTGCTGACTGCTGAGACTAAGTTTGGTGGGGTTTGTTAGATGCTGATTAATTTAGTATATTGATGCGCTTACATTCGTAGGCAACAATGGCCATCTTCTGTCAGTCAAACTGGTTATGTTAATAGATGGCTATATTGATTTCCTTTGTTTACTTGACTATGAGTTGCCAGCTGCTCTCTGTCATTGGTGTGGTACATGGAAAGGGGATAAAATATGTGGTGGCTGCAAGAAATCACGTTACTGTTCTGAGAAACATCAGGTATTCCCAAATCATTTAATCATCCTAGAGATCTCTTGGGCATCTCATGTTTGTGTTAAATCTACCCCTTTGTCATGTCCAAATATACAGTCTTTGGTTTGATCCTTGCCAATTTTTGGACACACTCATGATCCTTTGTCCACCTCCAATACAATAAAGTATTGACTGGCTTGGACACCAACCAAACAGACCCTACATATCCCTTTGGCAACCAGATCCTACTTTGGATGAACAAAATTTTGTGACTCTTTCTCAGGCACTGCACTGGCGCTCTGGTCATAAAAATGATTGCCTACAGATAATCAATTCTTCTGAAGCTTCAAGTTCTGTGCTGCCAGCTGTAGGAAAAGGTAACCATGTTTGAAGACTAATAATGCTATTAAGGTCGTAATTATTGCATTTGTCTTTATCCTCTTATAATTCCTCTCTATTTGCAGTTCCAGCTAGGACTTCTTGGCCGGAATATCAGATAGCAATTGACGATGAAGTTGATTTGGATTCTGATGGTTGTGATGAAAACAGCTCAAAATCCTTGGTGATGCAAAAGCATGGTAAACCAGATGATACAATGCAGTCATGGATGGATCAATTTGAGGTTTTTAGCCGTGCATTCTCTCTTTTGTGCTTGCCAACATAGCAACCACTGTTTATTCACTGCTATGTTATATAGGCTGATGCTGACAACCAATGCTGGGCATATTTTCAAGAGCGTATCTCAAGAGCACCAGAGCAAGTATTGAGGTATGCATAACTTGCATGAATCCTCTCCTTGTTCGGTGATGTTTTCAATTTACTTTTGCCTGTTCAGGAAAATAGTAGTTCGATATTATTTCAATCGTTTTGTAATTCAGTTTATTCAGTTGGCTTGCATATTTATTCTCAACAATGTATGTTATATGCATATTTATTACTAATAAAAGTCTAAATTACGCAGATACTGTCGAGATCCAAATGTAAAACCTCTGTGGGCTTTATCAGCTGGGCGTCCATCAAATCCTGACATCCCTTCATGTAGCTACTGTAAAGGTCCACTATGCTATGAATTTCAGGTTGGTCAATTTGTCTAGGGCCAAAAATATTTGCATTTCTGATATAGCAACACATTTCCACTTAGCTAGTAAACTCAAAAACCCAATTGTTTTTCCATGATAACTCCCCCTTGTAGCAGTAATAGGTTTAGAGTCAATATTTTGTTGCCACAAAAATAATAGACTGAAAACCTTACATTTTTCATGCCCAATATTTTGTTAATGCCCATCTGCTCTCTAAAATGTCTGTTGGGCAAATGCTCTGTTTATGAGCCATCACTACCATCAGTGTCTCAAATAATAATAACAATAACAAGACATGATTCAGAAGTTATCGATCACTAGCACTAGGGACTGTGTAATCAGTTATGCTACTAGGCCAGGCTGTGGCAGGGCATGCATGGCATGGTTTGTGCCTATAAGTTATGACCAAGCTGTTTTTCTTTGTGTCCGAATAGGAAACTAAAAGAATGTTGTTAATGAATTACTTCTATGAACTTACGGTATCATGTTTTTCCTTTAACCCCCATGAGAGCAATGTCCAAATAGTTGTACCTATGGAACTTCATATGAGTGAAGTTTATGCTTAGTCAGTGTCTCAGTGATGCCTCCAACATGCTTATCAGTAATCGTTACATTTCCCTCCCTCGTGCTTGCGTATACAGGATCATGTGCTTACATATCCTTACACTGTGTTTACTGTATCTCCAGATAATGCCACAATTGCTTTATTACTTTGGTGTGAGAAATGAACCAGACTCTCTTGATTGGGCAACAATTGTTGTGTACACATGTAAAGGATCATGTGATCAAAGTACTAGCTACAAGGAAGAATTTGCATGGGTTCAGTTATATCCTACATCAATCTCAAGGCCATAGTAATGTTTACCTGTTCCACAGAGTGGTGTCTGCTGCTGCAGGTTTGTAACTCCCCCCATTTAACTTTGTTGTTGATCTACAAAAGCTCATGCATATGATCCACTAATAAGCAACGGTTCACTTTGGCATGATTCATTGTGTTTTATCAGTATACACTATCCACTGTCAAATGTGTATTATGATACGAGTAATTTCAGTAAATGCACTAATTCTGAGAGAATTTTTAATAGAATGTTCCAAGAGCTGAGAATTTTCCTGTGCCCATTGATGCATCTATTGCTTGAACAAGTGAAGGGCCAATAGTTGTTGTAAAAGTTAGATAGGTATAAGCTTATTTGATGTTGTGTTTTTGGATTCTGAAGCTATGCTAATTGCTAATCGCCATTTTGTTTGTTGTATACATCTGCAATGGATGGGCATGTTTCTTTGGAAAACGAGTTAGTCAAAAATCAATATAGTTTGAATCTATTCTCTTGATCTTGTTGTTAGCTTTGTTGTTTTATCTGCCTGGCAAATATGTTCCTTTTAGCGGCAGCAAGATACAGATGCAAGAGAATGTCATCAGTTGGCTGTGTGAATCAGAGATAGTCCTTGCTAGTAACCTATATTTTTCTCTGTTATTGTCTCACCAGGGAGTTGGGAACTTGAAAGTGATGGTCTACCTTGCATTTCAATCTGAAGACAGGCGTTCCAAGCCAGATAGATCTTTTTTTAGATGTCAACTTCAATGCAGGGCCATGGTCCCAATTCGCTCGCTACATTGGGCTTGGTCTAGTATTTAGCCACTGGGGCCATCTAGAGCATTTGATGTGAAATAGTTGTGGTCGCCAGCATTGCCGGTTCAGTGTGCATCTTTATTTCGTTATATAGGATTCTTCGTCTCTTTATGTGGACACCTTGGACGGTTTTGGGGATTACTCGTTAGGGTTCTGGTCTATCTCGTTGGTCTGTTATTTGAGGCTTCTTGCATTTCGCTTTCGGCATTGACCACACCCCATGTAGAGTAGAGTCTCCACATTGCCTTTTTTTAGGAGTTGAAATTTTGATAAGAACTGTGCTTTTTTATATACCAAAAGCAAATAATCTTGCTGGGCTACTTTACGTTTTATCTGTTCCATGCATATAGGATATTCCATGAACATGGTGTGGTAGTTGCCTTGTGTTGAAAGCGATTTTTGCAACGACAAAATTTGTGTGTTTGGCATGGTCCCATGTGCCACCTCCTCCATGGTTTTGGGTTCATGGCTGCACGTTTTGTTGAGCCAGATACGCGCAGACCCGTTGAGGCTTTGCTTGCACGACCCAGTTGCTGGCTGTGCCCATGGAAACTTCCATCCTCGACACGAACCAGCACGGCGGCGTGCTGTGCTGCCTTTCGTTGCGGAAGAAAAGATGATCGGGGAAAAGGGGAAAGCATGGCGCCGGAACCACCGCTGCCGCGTCTCGTCGTCAGCAGGACGCGGCGTGGCCGTGTAACCATGCTGCGGATTCCCGTGTAATGTAAACATTTGGCGAGCAGGGGAGGCACGGCAAGTATCCATCCATCAGCATTATTTTTCTTTCCTTGGCTCCGCTCGCCATCACTCCATGTGCCGCGGCAATGGCATGGCCCTGCCTGGCAAGTGGCCGGCCAGAGCAAACAAATCAACTTTTTCTGCCTGCATACGTGCGAGTTTCTGGGCGGCACTGGGCCGCTTCCGTTGACGGCGACCGCCACCGGCCGCTTACGCTTACAATAATAATGGGATGGATGGATCCCTGCAGTGCTCGCCGGCAATCAAGGGTCCATGCCGCACCACACTCCTCTTTCTTCTTAACTGGAGGAGGAATCGCCCGCCCCAGAGATCCGGAATTCCCAGAGATCCACCGTAATGAACTCTCTCTCTCTCTCTCTCTCTCTCTCTCTCTCTCTAAGGAGATCGGATCTGCTGGTCTGCGTCACCACGTACAAAGTACAGACGGACGGTACAGTGCCAGTGCACAACTTACCCCGCAAAAAAAAAGTATCATTGCAAAACTAGTGTCGGTTTTGGTTAGTGCTGTGTACCAGAACGGCCGTGAAGCTGCTGCCTCGTTTAAGTATACTGCGTGAAGACTAGTTTGTTCTGTGTGCATACTTGGGCAGTCCACGGTGATGTCACGTGGCTGAAAAAAATACTCCTACACTGTACCCAAATTATAGTAATCTTCTGGGCTCACAGGCTTGCTTTTCGCTTACGTAGGCAGACCATAATTTACTCGTTTGATCAGGGTCTCTTAATTGCCCTCGCCATCTCACAGCAAGGGAACCAAAACAAATGAACAGCGAATGCCCCTCGACCGACACAGGTGACAGGCCCAGCTCCTAGGCTACGCACACGCAGCACGTTTACCTGCCGTACAACTGACGGCTGGGACCGCAGCGGTGTGTGGGCCCGCATGTCAGGGGTGAGGAACGACGCGATGTCCTGTTGAGCTCGAGGTGGATGAGAGGGACGCGGGTTTAAACGTTGGAAAAAGTCACCGCGTCATGTGCAGGCTCAGGTCAATTCAATTCAATCTCCTCCTCAGCTGCGACGTTGCTGGCTACAACTGGCCGCCACTCGGAGTGATGGCGCTCCCCCCGTTTCCACATCACGGGCTATCGGATCTGCTATACTCCCCGCGGGCGGGTCTCCATCACGAGTTCACCACGCGGTTTTACAGACGGCACCGACCGTGGATCTTCTGCATACGAGAGGACACACGCACGACCTGACCCAAAAATGCAGACGCACGGGATTATCCAGACGCGCGGGATTATTACGGGCATTCATGGGACGCTTCCAACTAATTAAACTTGTCGCGAATCAACCTGTGGTTGAATTTCTTTTTTAGAAATACATATGGTTGGATGGTTAGAGTATTGTGGTATCTCAAGCCCATCAAGGTTCAAATCATATTGCTCGCATTTATACCTGAATTTATTTCAGGATTTTCAGCGATGCGCATTCAGTGGGAGGAGACGTTCCCGTCGACGACGAGTCATCTACGTTGACTTCGTAAATCTCAAGATGATATGTCGGCTCAGTTTTTCGAAGGTGCTCATAGGGGTAGAGTGTGCGTATGTGCGTGTGTGTTCATAGGGATGAGTGTATGCGCGTGTATATGAGCGCTTGTGTCTGTACTGATGTTCAAAAAAACTAATTAAACTTGCCTCTCCTGAATTTCAGCTGGGTGGGACCCAACCTTTCTCCTTAATTCAATCACAGGTTGCCACCTTAAATTCATCTTGTAATAAGTTGTGAGTAAAGTTATCAGAATGATTAAATTGTTGATTATAGGACAACAATGAAAATGTCGTTAAGTACTAACGACATGTTTGTCGCATACGAAGAAGATGAAGAGGTTGTTGTAACTTGTAAGGAGTTGCATCAATACAGACTCGTTGTAAGTAGTACATCAATAAAATCTTCATCGCTGCTCCAAGTGATTTTTGGCTTCAACTAAATCATTGGTGGCATAGTAAGTTAGAATTGGTCCAAAAAATTACTGTGATGAATTCTATAACATAAGGTTGAGTATGTTGTTGCTTTAAAAACAACAATAGAGGGTGATGAATCAAATGTTCATTTATGAAATTGTTGTTTTCTAGATGATTATGCAAATGGAACACTATTCTCGATAGTGGTTATGTAGCTCAATCTAAGGAATCAAAGGCTCTACCAGTGATTCAATATATACAAAGCTTGTTTCACATAAATTATGATTTTTTTTGTGAAAGCATGATAGATGCATTAAAATGCAAATGATACACACGTATCTAAAGATTTTCAGATTTGATAGGACGAAATCTATACCACAAGCAAAGCATGGACTATCACCGGATTGCCATTGGTGTAAAAGTTAAAAGTGCTAACTAGATTACTGACTCTAGTGCGAGTGGGAGACTGTTGGAAATATGTCATAGAGGCAATAATATTGTATTATTGTATTTCCATGTTCATAATTAAGTATTTATATTTCATACTATAAGTGATATGATCCTGGAATATGCGATTCAGTCAAAAACTCATGCACATGTGAAATGATAAATGGATAAAATAAAGGCTCCTAGTCTCACCTGTAAGACTAGCTCAAGTGTTGTTGGTGATCATGTTTTCCAGATCTTAGAATATCGTTAAGTGTAACGATACTCCTAAAATAACATTGAGATTATGACGTTGGAAGAACAATCATATTGAATCGATCCAAACTTGTTTGTTATGAATTGAGATAATATCGTTTGTAATCAATCGTAATAACATAGAGTGTTAAACATGTGATTTTTCTCCTTAGACCATGAGAGTATCGTAGTCACTTCTTACCGTACGGTGAACTTTAGGGTTGCTCAAACGTCACCTGTAATACGGTGATCATAACGACAACTTACAGGTTTATCGAAAAGTTTGACAAGTGACTAGATTGCTCGAGAGGGGGATTTGCTCCTCCGACGTTGGATAGATATTCTTATGGCCCTCTCGGTGTGACAACATCCATCATTGTCTAGCCAGACACGGGTGACTACTTCACGGGGATGCCGGAAAACGACAACAAGAAAGAAGAACAAAACCGATAATGAGGATTTTGGTATAGTGAGCTTGTGATGACTCAGGGGGATACCCCATTGATACGTCCATTTTGCATCATGCTTTTATATCGATATTTATTGCATTATGGGCTGTTATTACACATTATGTCACAATACTTATGTCTTTTCTCTCTTATTTTACAAAGTTTACATGAATAGGGGGAATGCCGGCACTTGGAATTCTGGGCTGGAAAAGGAGCAAATATTAGAGACCTATTTTGCACATCTCCAAAAGTCCTGAAACTCCACGGGAATTATTTTTAGAATATATAAAAAATATTGGGCGAAAGAAGTACCAGAGGGGGGCCACCCACCGTCCACGAGGGTGGGGGCGCGCCCCCTGCCTCGTGGCCCCCCTGGTGGCCCTATGATGCCCATATTTGGCTATATGGAGTCTTTCGTCGAGGAAAAA